TATTTGTATCCTCTTCGAATTTACTGTGTAGTCTTCATCGCCTATCTATCACGCCTCGTCTGTTAGTCCCTACATTTCTATTTTCCGTTCCTCTCTGTTCTCAAACTGGTAGCTCGTGTTTTGGTCTGTCTCAAGTAGACTTGCTGCTATTAGACTTCTACTTTGAAGTTTATTTATTTCAAATGGCAGGCGTTTTGATAGCTATCATTAGCCCTTTAATTGACTTCGGGCTTCACAGAGGGAAGGTTCATCAAAGTAGCAGAAAGTCGAGGGGTGGGGAACAGAAGAGCGATTCACAGATGTAAAAGAGGCAGACAGACACAGGCAGAGAAAAGGGTAAGATGAGTACTGTAGAAGCGGTCGAATATGACAAGCAGTCGTGCCATGGTATTTTGAAGTCAGAAGTCAACTGTGCGATAGACTTACCTCCACTTGGTGCACCCTGGGAAACGTATACTCATACGGCAAAAAAGTCTATTAACCGGCAGTTGACTTCTACTTGGAAGTTAGATTAACTATCGATAGCCTCTAAGTTTTTTCAATTTTAATTTCTACAAAGTCAGATCACTCTTGTCAAGATTGTAGGGAATTTGTCGTATTTTTTCGAATCTTCAACTTTTTTAGTATGATATGTATGCAAAACTAATGACCGCTAGCCTATACGGTTTAAAGAAGGAAATTTGCCTGGTCCAGGAAAGAAAACTTATTCTATTTATTTGAAATTCTACTGACACCTGAGGCTTGTTACCTAAAGCCACGCATCAGTGGCACTGTTAAGGTGATCGTGGTAACATATATTCCTTAATGAAACTTTCTCACATTTGTTTTTAACCTCAGGTCAGACAACCACAAATCGTTCAACTGAGTATTCTATGTGACAACTCTAAAACTCCTCTCGCTGTTCAACTTGAACCAATAGTCAACATTAAATCGCCTTATCCTTCTGCTACAATTTTCCGGCTATCCGCGGGCCCCATTCGCCTTTCTCCAATGGAGTTCGTACGTGTCACAGTCAAAGCAGTTACTGAATCCTCGTCTAAACCTGCAATATTAATTGCCAAGCCGACTTTGTTCAGATATCCCCAGATCGCGTACGTTTCTACTTCTGCGTAAATTATGTTTCAGCTTGACTGTTTTAAGCATTATGTAGAATTGCGTTTGACGACAGTTCATGTTTTGGCATGTGGAATTGGATGACCTCACGGTGTTGTGAACACTCACATTTCTGTGTCATCGTATATGGTTTTTTATTCCATCTTGGGATAGTTTAAGTTGAAATATTTCTTGGAACAGATTTGGGAGATATAATGGTTATTTTTATGACATGTATTTGTGTTAACGTCACTTTCTATCAGTCACTGTATTGCTTTTCAGTGATTGGCTGCATTAACTGGAGCTTTTATTTTGATCCGAATATTAAGAACGCAAAAAGGTGTTTTGTGGTAGGCAATTTGAGATAAATGGTCTGTCGAGGAATAATTATTCGCGATTAATGTAAACATTTAATAATGTGTGGATTGAATTCGGCTATTGACTTAAGCAGTGAAAACTTACTGATCATTTGATTTGACTAACTGGCCAACAGGCTTTGAATAAGATCTTATAGCTGGAAAAAGCAAAATTCTTTGTAATATTGCAGTATTGATGATGTCCACTTGTTGCTTCCTATTTCTCAAAACTCTCATTGATCCTTTGCCATTTGGGTGTTCCCTAGTTTAATGTATTATCTCTTGTTGCACATTCCATTGGCTAAACGCTTGTATTTCGCTCATTTAAATATACGCAATTCTAACGTCGTTACTGGCTCACTCTACCTAATCTTTTATTCACATGCAAATCTAAGTTAGGTAAAGTAGGCAATCCCTTTTAGTTATACTTCCTCTTTTCGGATAAATTTATTTATTTATTTCAAATGGTAGGCGTTTTGAAAGTTATCATCAATCCTTTAGCTGACTTCGGGCTTCACAGAGGGGATGAACATCAATGGCACAAAAGTCGAGAAAGGGAACAGAAGAGTGATTCACAGGTGTAAAAGAGACAGACAGGCACAAAGGCAGAGAAAAGGTAATATGAGTACTGTGAAAGTGGTCAAATATGGCATACAGTGGGGTCATGATAATTTAAAGTCAGACGTCAACTGTCGGTTTATAGACATGGGTAGTTTAAAGTCAGACGTCAACTGTCGGTTTATAGACATTTTTTTGCCGCATGAGTATACGTTGCCCAGGGTGCACCACGAAGAGGTAAGTCTATCGCACATAAAAGTACAATAAAAGTAGTATTTGGTATCTCGCTTTCATTAACTTTGATAACTGAGCTACGAGTTTCGTCCAACCCCATACCTGCAGATTATGCTTTATTGCAACCTATCACTTCCATTAGAAAATATTATTCCTATATTTTCTTCTTTTTCCAGTCGTGCCATCGAAACGTTCTACATTAAAGGCGAGCCTCGAAACTTCGAATCGAAACTTATCTCCAACTTTTTGGAATTAAACTTCGATGGAGAGACCGGTTTTGCACAGGTTAGATTTCTATTCATTTTTACTCATTTATGCTTTAGTTTAGTGGAGATGAAAACGGTTACATTTGTTTATCATTAATTTTTTTTTTGATTGAAGAAGTGTGTGAATCACTTATTAAACAGTGGATATATGGAGGTGATTTTGGCTGTAGGAGGCGTACTCATATTGATTATTGACCCCTTAACTGATAATGCTCTTGCAAGATAGCCGATTTGTTTCTCTCGTCTTCGGTTGAAACATTTTGCCTTCTTCTTTCCTGTGAGATAGGGCTTGCTTTTTTGTTACACCTTCGCTTTATGCTAGCCGAGCTAATTGTGTGCACTTTAGTGGGACTTTAGTGGGTTTGCTAAAATTGTTCCGAAAATATATGGGCACGTATCCATTCATGTCCCATCAAACGTGTTTAGTGTTTTCGTGCAATGGTTGCCTACTGAAAAGAATTTGCTAGAGTCCGTAATCGCTCAATATTGTTGTTTGACGAAGTTGCCTTTGCGGTACAGTTGCTCTGGATATATAATGATAGCTTCTTATTCATTTTCATGAATTTACTATTTGTTCTTCTCATATCGTAGGGTAGGGTAGGGGTGGGGGCGAGGGGGTTATGTTTTCTCGTAAATACGAGTTCAGTTAATTGTTGTACCCATAAAATTCTTTGACAGTCTTATTTTGCATAGACATGCAGATAATTTTATTTACCTTGAAATAAATTGGTTTAAGAAATCTTATCATCATAAACTCCAGCCACAATTAAAATTATTGTTTTGTTTTTTTAAGAATCTACACAACAAAATAACGCGTGAAACCCACAAGTTGGAGATAGGGTTCCACTATATGAACCCGAGTCCGAAACCAGGAGCTGCTGGAGCCTATATTGGTTGTTCATTCGTCTCTAATGAGGTGAGTCTGTTCAATTGACCTAAATTTTCACATATAATTTTTTAAGTGTATATTGAATTTAATAGTAATTTCAAGAGGTTAGTATACTCAAAACATACGAAGTTTGGTAATCACTCTGGTTTCTGATTAGTGTTTGATTCCTCCATAGATCGGCATTAACTAAATTGTAATCTTTTCCAAATGTTGACCACTGCCGGTATTGCAGTGGTCGGAGTTTCCATTCAAGTCAAAAGTCGCAGAGTTAATGTTTACCAGTGCATGGTAGAATATGAGTTTTTAGCCAAAGCCCTCTAAAGTACCTTGTCCCTACTCAGTTCTGGCCTTGTTAACTTTACCTTAATGTTCCGGAGAATGTAGTATTCATATCCACCTTTTGATGAATTGAAATATGCACATGATTTCTGCACTCGCAGAGAATCTTGCACCTTTCATCCACGGCAGATGATTTTGTTCTTTTTTTAGCCGCTTTCCAAGGATCCCGTTGAATTGCGTGTCCTTCGTGGTGCCTTAAGTGACGAGGTTACGAGCTACTATCCTCGAGTAAAACATACACTCAGATTTAATAAACTAGGTAATTATGTACTCCATTTTTTAACAGCTGTAAACTTGAAAATCAATTTCTTCATTAGGCTATGTTAATGGAATCCACGTTTTTACTTAAAATCTGCATAGGGCATTACTATCATCCATGCCTTTCTCACTAGCAAACAATGTTGGTGGGAGTTTGGTTTACTCTAATAAATGCTCGAGATCATTTCTGGACTACTTGTATACTGTAATTTATTAGTTTACTATTCTTAATCATATCCAAACATGGATGGGGTGGGGGGGGGGGGGGGGGGGGGGGGGGGAGAGGAAGGCGATGTTGTCCAATTAGTTTCTAAGTAAATTGAGTTCGATTGGAGAAACAGGTTTTACGTTATTGTAAATTTTTGAGCCGTCGAATTATCAATGGATTATTGAGTCTCACATACTCTGTTGCTTCTTTGATTCAGCATCAATATTTGCCCCCCTAGATCCGCAATGTTCAGAGCTGGCTAACTAGTAGTTTGTATCATTTCAATACACACGCATATCTCTTATGGTAATGAGATATTAGTCATTAAATAAAAGTCTATGTATATGTATTTATTATATTCAACTATACATCCACCCGAAGATTGCACATATCAGAAGCTTGGTTTTGTGCATGGCGTTTTTTGCCGAAAAATTTGTTTAGTTGAAAAACTAAAAGTATTGACAATAATTAAAGTACATGAGATTAGCGTATTGGAGGATTAATCACACTCTACCCAGGGGTGTTTTGAATAGATTTGTCTTAATGTTCCTCTACCTTTCTATCAATGGTAATGTGTCGTTAATACTTAATAAAGGTAACTAAATTTGCGAAATCCATAAGTCTCCATAGCACTTGTATCTGATTTTAGAATCAAAAATTTGTTTTAGGAAAACACGCAGATCTTACTAAACGATTTCGCGTTGTAAAACTAGATCTTTTTCTCTCTTGTCTGTCCCCACATCATAATTATTTGTACGGACAAAATTAAAAACTAGAGCTGTTTGATATTTCGAAATTTGCCATTTATTATTCTGATGCCATAAATGTAATGAGTTATACGCTTTTATTGACATTAATTAGTGAAAATTAATCAACGTTATCGCATTTATAAGATTCCGCTGGTCGCATGGCTCTGGAAGTTGAAAATGTCGTCAACCTCACAAATGCTAATGCTATGGAGGTCGTTATGACAATTAAGACGGGCATCAATAACCATAACGGCACCTTTTTCACAGACTCGAACTGTTTCCAGGTAAATGTCAACCTGTTGTCTCTAGAATAAAAAACCGTGCAAATTTTTCCATTGAACCTGTGCTTTTTAATGCTAACCTCAGATGATTGAGCGCAGATACCGTACCAAAATCCGTCAATGGGGGAATGTCTACCCAATGAGCTGTGCAGCCTTCATTGAGGATGAGACCCATCGAGTGACCTTGCTCTCTGGCCAACCACTTGGCTTCATGGCTGGTGAGAAACCAGGTGAAATGAAGGTCTGGCTAGATCGTAGAACCCACATTGATGACCAACGTGGTCTCTTTGAATCCATGACAGATAATCAACCCACTCGTTCCCTCTTCCGAATTCTTATTGAACGCGTCTCCAAGCCTGCCAAAGCCAGTGTAGTTGTGGTAAGGGAATATATTGATGGATTTATACCGTTAGATTAATATTTAAATGGCTGTTTTCACGTTTTATTTTCCCAGCCTTCTTTGACTGCCGATGCTCACTTTGTACTGGATGACATACTCTTCCCATCGGCACAATTTTTGGTCAATACTGATTCGTCCAAATTGAAGTCAACTTTATCGTTAATGACTGGTACAGGACTCCCTTGTGACTACGATTTGGTGACAATGAAAACTTTCTTCAGCAAATCAGAACGATTTAATGGTGAGTATGCTTTGGAAGTAGTCACTCTTAAGATTGTAACTACGCAAACACACACACATTAATCAAAGCAGCTTTCAAGAGATCTACAGATTATGTGCAAAAACATAACCTTATTAACACAATTTTTTATATTCGTTAGCTTGGATACTGTGGAGACGCATTAGTAAAGAACTTCCTATTGACCGTTATTTAGGAGTTTGGATCACCGTTCATTTAACTACGTTCGCTTTCACAAGTATTAATCTTTATGTAACCACCTACTTAGCGAAGTGAACATTAACCCCATTGTTAATCGGCCAAAAATGATTATTTAATATTCATTTTGCAAATGTTATTTTGCCAGAGATGGGGTGTATAAAATTTTACAATTAGGGTAAGGCAAAATCTGGCTATGTCTTACTTGAAAAGTGTGGTGTCAAATGCTATTTGCACTTCTATTCCTTGCATCTTCAGAATTCATGAGAATTCCGTTTCCATTGATGTGACAATTGTGCTATTTTTCCGAATGAAGCTTTGGATCCTTTTGCAACTTCGACGTAATGACGTATTTCGCGTAAAGATAGCGAGAGCGATGTCAAGCTTTGAAACAGTCCTTCCGGATTTTTGGAATTCTATTGAACACTATTTACGAAATAATCAGCTCATGTTCCAAAATTCAAATTTCCTTATTTGTCTGCTGGGTTGCAGGTAGCGTTTGCCTATGATGTTTAGTTTTTATGGATCGGCATTATTTAATCAAGATGTGCTTATCTTGCTTTATTTCATTTTTTTCAAATAGTTGAGATGACGTGGTTTTCTTGCATTCAGTTTATTAGCTTGCATGCACGCTTTGATAAAGAAGTTCTCACTAATAACACCGTTATCAGTCATCGGCTTTCTTACTCAGATTTAAAAGTAGCGTTATATTCATTGGCAATCTCAGTCTTTCAGTTTGTGCTCTCCTACTGTGGGCAACAAGATTGGCTGAAAAAAAGCAATAGCCTTATGTTTCAAGTAGTGTTTTCCTTGGACTTAATCCTTTATTTATAATTGACATAAATGAATTATTTGGTTGACTGCCTACAATTTTCTTTCCCTTCTGTAGGATTGGACAGCGTTACTGGAAGTCAATTGGGCATGGTTCTACGTCATAAGGTAAACGGTTGTGGCTCCACCGGACTCTGCGGTGATATATGCGCTTGCCAAAGCCCCACAGTATCTCCGGTTAGTGTTCACACTTTGAATCGTTAAAATTGAATGTATGAGTATGCTCACACTTTGAAACCTTTAAACGAATTATACAAGGCGTTGAGTAATATATTTAAACATCCTGAAATTGATAGACGAAGGACGTGTTGCTGGCCTTCGCAATTCAAGTTTTAGAAATGAAAATCGAACTTGTTTCCGGCATGATGGTCGGTTCAAGTTAGAGTCCTTCTTCGAGCTCTGATTGATTTGCTTTAACTAAAACTTTGCATCAGGTTTCTTTCTTGTCTTCGTTTTATGGGTAAAGATACTGAGAGAGCTCCCCATAAGAAATCCATAGTAGTGTAGCCTTTCTTTTAAGATTTGACCAATGGATATCTCAGGACAATCTGCTGAGCTGAATCTACCAAACTTATGCCTTTGAATGAGCATAATCCGTATGTTAGCTTTTTCAATGTACTGGTAGGATTCATTTTGTTAGATGCATTTATTGGCCTCAGCTCTCAATCCGCATAAGTCACAGAGCCTATTTGGAGATCGAACCCCGTATCCAACATTGAGTGGTCACAACTGCAAGTCAACTCGCGTTCCAAAGTAAGCTGACCTCACTAGACCGGATTGACGAAGATTAATGAACTGTTCAGAGAAAGAAATCTAGCGTTCTATAATGTTACAGCCTTTCCTTATTTTTATTGTACTTTGCTGACTTATTTGCTATTTTGTTTTCTTTTAGCTTAAAATCAGAGATATTTTCCCCAATCTGACTACGAAGAAGGTTGTTAAAACTTTGTTAACTCTGATTCCTGACAAATCCGTTTCCAG